CATCTCTGTCGCCATTTCTGTTAATATTTTTGCTGTCATTCATATCATCCACTTCCCCATCCGTTAGCTTTTGAGGATATGCGTTAGAATAGCTGTTCTTAAATGAAGGCTTTTCACCTTTGAGAGCATAAACTCTATAACTTTCTGCATACTTTATGTTTGAACCTCCTGAGCCATCATTGACATAAATTTTTATAGGTTTCCACCCTTTGTTCATGTTCCTGCTTCTTCCCTTAGCTCTTTTGTTCAGTAGTTCTACATCTTTATACACAGCACCTGTCTCAGTGAATTCAACAATATTTTCATTCGTTAGCTTTACATTCAAACCCTTGTCGAGTATATTGTTCATTTCATACATATAAAAGGTTTTTATTCTATATGAAATGAGAAGCAAATCCATCTTAGCTGGTGCCGTTAATGTTCCAATTGAACCAACATCAAATGTTGACTCACGAACGACAAACAATATTGTCATAAAGAACTATAGTTCGGAGTGTTTGAAAGAAAAAGAACCAGATCTTAAGTCGGGACCTTCGGTCTTGGCGCATGGCGCCGTGAATTTAAACACAGCTTCAAACGCTAACGCTACATCAGATGTTAAGTTAGAGTATCCACCACTGGACCAAATTCTTTCAAGAGAAGCCAACGACAACCCTTACACAAATGTTCAAACAAATCCTTCAGATAACGTAGACCATTACCTTCTTCAGTTATACCAAACAATTTTACTCAAAGACGATAAGAAGCTTTTGGTAAATCTTATAAGCAAGAACCAAATAATTCTAACAAAGGAGGACCTTGAAAATGTTATATCACGAATAACAGGGAAACAATGTGTCATTGACTATCTCGACCCTGAAATTGAATGCTGTGGTCAAACGCCACCATTCATGAAAATAGGTAACATCCGCATCATTGAAACACCAGGAACTACAGGAGTTGAGGTTAAGTATAAATATTCGAACGAGTATACAAAACTATCTACTTACTATAAGCTTTGTTTGAAATATGTTTTAGTAAATTAAAGCAACTTATAGTATCTATCCAAAACTTCTTCAACAGTATCGAACTCATCTTCATAATGCAAACCTAATCTTATTGACTTGGTGCAGTTTTCACTAACACAATATTTTTCTGTTCTCTTGACTGACATAACTAACTCATTTGTTTCATCAAACAGCAACAACCAAAGTTCATGACCTAATACATAACATTCATACTTTATATTTTTAGCTCTGAGTTCTCTTGTAAGCTGTTGCATTTAATATTTTCTAAAAAGTCAACTTCAACAGTCATTCGCACTGGTGCCTTCAGTTCTACAGGCTCTCCTTGAAAGTCAACAAGTCTGAATTGCATGTCTTTCAAATTATGAGGACTAATGCGAACCCATTTACCTAAATGAGTTGCTATGACAGGAACGTTTGGAATGAACATTGAATTGACTGCATAACAGAAGGATTTATATTCTACTGAACCTTTACTATTAACTCCTGAAATGCCTGTGACATTAGCTATTTTAGACTCAATGTATAAACAATTACCATAACATACGTATGGAACAGATTTCATCTCAATCGTTTTGTCAACACTTTTCAAAGGAAATGTCATATGGTATGCTCCCAAAAGAAGTTGTACTCTATGACTCATTCGTGTTATCTTAAACTCCTTCACATAACTGAACTTCAAAACTCCTGCAATAAGTTTAACATTCATTAAGTTTTCTTCGTTATCCTTGTTTATTGTAGTATTTATGAGAGCATTTAACACTCCAGCTAATGTTTCCATCTTATATTCTACATTATTGTGAAATCTTATTTCATGCTTCTTTCCATCTATTTCAAGCTCCATGAAATCTGTTTCGTCAGTTATAACGAATGAAGCAATAGTATTAAAGTCAACCATTCTGAATGCAAGCGCCTCATTCTGTAGACCTAAGTTTGTTTGTAGATTTACTGTCCCGTATTCGTTTGGGTCTGTACTTTGCAAATAGAACAACATTTTATTCTCATTAAAATATGAGTATAGCTGCATATGCGTATGAAGCTGACAGAGCTAAACGTTTATATTTTGGTCAATACTCTCTCACACTTACTGACAAATATATTGTTATCAGTGATGGAAATACGAGAAATACATAACATGGAAGGACTATGAAAAGTTTGACCCATTTTAACTCCATGTACTATGCCATTCATTGTAAATGGTGAAGTTGTCATGAAGAACGACACAACAGTATATAAGTCTGTTCATGAAGCGTTAGAATATATGTTGAATTATAATCCCGAAAGATTTGACCCAAGCACTACGCCATGTGCAATGCCTTTTATTAAGGACGGTGAAATCGTAAGAGTTCCGGATTCAACGGTTTACACAGCTGTTCAAAACAGTTTACAAAACATTTTAGCGAATATCTTTAATTCAGAAACTACAGAAATAAAATTACCATATATAACAGATGCTAAAGAAATTAAATCAAAAACAACACATTTTTACGTCACTTAATGATTTAATGACTTATATCATTAATATTCCTGCACCAACTACAGCATTTGATCCAAACTCGACGGTTTGTAGTGTACCTTTCATAAATGACAGTTCATTAATTGCTTTAAGGGATTCGACAGTAAATGAATCATTAAAGGCGTCATTAATGAAAATCATTGATTTTAACTCATTCATGAATACATATAATTCATTCATTAATGTTTCATATGCTTCTAAAGAAGGTGAGCCAAAAACTATCAATAAAGCGGTGTATGAAATAAAAGCATCAACGACGAAATTGAATTCGTTAACTTTTGACGGTGATAGTTTCGTTAATGACATAACATCGGGGAAAACAATTTTAACGAAAGAATATTTAAAATCTCATGTTAGTGAGTTCGTTGAAATTGAAAAAGAAGGTGGAATTAAGTTCGATCCACTGAATTTCATTTTCAGCTTAGCGAATGCGGGTGTTAGTTTCGCTGAATGGACAACTATACAGAGTGAAATAAATGCAATATGGACGTTTTTGGGGTCAAAAGCGGAATGGGTGAGCTTGTAAATGCTGCAAGAACATTAGGTGAAACAGGAAATTTTGTAGATGGTTTTAAAAGACTTGTTTCAAATGTTTTAACAAACACAAAGAAATTATTAGATATACCGTACATAACGGACGGATTTTCGAACAGATTGCAACAAACCCTCCGGTTATGGCTGCGTTGATGATGGTTAGAGATATAAAACCACGTAACGACGGAACGAAGAACATGAACAACAGGATACTGGTCGGGTTATTCGAGACATTAAAAACGTGTATCCTGAAGTTATTGATTTATTTAGAGGAGTTAATGATTCAATTTCAAAACATTCTATAACCCTCGATGAAGAGAATAAATTAACAGATTATATATTCGTCATTATTGCAGAATTAATGAAGAGAATAAATGAAAAAGGAATTGGTGATATCATTAATGTCAGCGATGTAATGATGAAAAGAAATTTTGACTCATTATTTACAAAACCGAAAACAGAATATAGTCTTTATGACGTAATTACCGAATTAATGAAAAAGATTAATGATAATAAGAGTTCTGGCGGTAGGCATGAACTTGAAATAAATGAGATAGAAGAGAAATTAGCCGAAAAAGCAGATAAAAACCATGTTCATTATATAAGTTCAGACGAACAGATTATAACGGACTACCATGGATATTTAACACAGGAAATGAACAAATAAGCACTGAAGATGTTAATGAAAGAAGATATAAATACATCGTGCTAAAGGTTATGACATAAGCTGTAATGTACATTATGACACAGGTAAAGCACAAGAAGCATTTAGTTATAACGATGAAATTTATGCCTCTACTTTCTCTGTTAAGGTGTATTAGTTGAACCAAGATTTACTTTGAGAGTTAAGTCAAAAATAACGTTTGAAGATGCTATTAAAAGTAAAGCTGACAAAGTTGAACTCGAAGCAATGAACAAAGTTTTGAAATCTCATAAACACAACATCTCCGATATAAATGAACTTCAAGCTACATTAGACAGTAAAGCAGACAAGAACCATACACATAAATCCTTCACTACTGTTAGAGCAGACGACATAATATTGAACTATACCCCTGGTTCAAGTGCACCTTTAGAGAATCCAAGTACAAGCGTAAAAGATACACTAAACTCCTTAAATAGTAAATGTATGAACATTGAAGGTCATGCCAGAAACTTTGAAACACATGAACTACCAGCAATGTTAGATAAGAAGGCAGATAAGAACCATACACATGAATTCTTCACAACTGTTGGTATAGAAAGTATTGAAGGAACGGTTGAAGGAACTGATGGGGATGCATTATATTGTAAACCTCCTAACTTTCCACAAGGTTTAACATCGGATGAAAACATAACAACGATGAAATACATTAGATGTAGAAATGTTTATGTCATGGATGATGAAAATAAAGTTAAATTCACTGCTCAAGATTTATATGATAAGAAAGCTGACAAAACAGAGCTTCAAACATTAAAGACAGAAATACTTCAAACATTATATCCTGTTGGTTCTATTTATACGTCAATGAACTCAACAAATCCAGCAACAGTTCTGGGTTTCGGTACGTGGCAGCAGATTGTAGACAAATTCTTATATTGTGCTAACTCTTCAAAGCAAACAGGAGGTTCGAAGAAAATTTTAGAAGCAAACCTTCCACCGCACACTCATACAGGAACTACAAACACAACAGGTAATCATTCACATTCGATAACAAAAAGAGGTTATACAAATCTCGCAGCAGGTTCGGATAGACAGGGAATGAATAGATATGATATCACAAGTGACCCAGTAGATTCAAGCACAGGTATTTTCTGTGGAACCACAGGTAATCATTCACACACTTTCGCAACAAATCCAACAGGCTCGGGTGCAGATTATATGCCACCATTTGTGACTGTATTCGCATGGTACCGCGTTCAATGAACGCGCTTGAGCCTAGAATAAAATCTTTAACTTTACATAAATGAGCTTGAAAGAAGTATTCGAACAACATCCATGGAGGTCATTTAAGAAGTTCAATGAAGCTGCAAAGAGTTGGGGATTTACTAACAGAGCTGAAGTGAAAAAGTTCTTTAACAAAAATGTTGTACATCAAACAAAAATAAATCCTTACGACTACTTTTTACCAATTTACTCCAACACTCCTGACGCATACCAATTTGACACTCTCATTCAAAGCAGAAAAGGAGGACATAAACCATTCCTCATCTTCATTAATGTTAACACTCGTAAAGCATATGCATATCCAATGAGGAACAAAGGAACTCGTGAAGTGTTAAGAGTTTTACAAAAGTTTGTAGCAGAACATAACCCAAGTACTTTAACATCAGACCAGGATTCAGCATACCTCAGCAATGAAATCACAGAATTTCTCATTAAGCATAACATAACTCACTACACTACTGAAGACCATAACCATAACATACTCGGCATCATAAACCGCTTCATAAGGACTCTCAGAGATTTAAATCAAGAGCGAGACTTTACCGAAGAAACAATGAAACATTTTCTCGAAGTATATAATTCCTCAACACATTCTACAACAGGACATACACCAAATTCAATGACACAACAACAAGAAGAAAAGTATATACAAAAGAAACGAAGCCAAACACAAAATATCAGAAATTCAACACAATTTACCCTCATTCCTGGTACAAAAGTTCGTGTAGTTCTTGACGACAAACCGTTGACAAAGAAACGTTTAAGGTTAAGTCGAAATTATTATATCGTAGACTCTACGCAAGGTAATGGATATCTTATAAAAGCTGCTGACGACTCCATAGCGTTTTACCCTCGTCATAAATTAGTCGAAAGTAGTAATGGCAAACTTGCTGAAACCATTGACGAAGCAAAGCGAGGAGTGGTTATTGAAATACTTGGCTATAACACAAACGATGACACTTATAAAGTAAGATATGAAGGAGGCGTTGAAGATTTATACCATCTAAGAACTTGAGAGAGTCGAAGCCAACTCATCTGGGTCCATTAGAGCTGGAGTACTGGAAAGACAAAAATATGCCAGAAAGAATAAGAAAATTCTTCTAAACTTTTTCATTAGATGTAAATCAGACATGAACGAGAACAGTCATGATATCATTAATGGTACCATTTATTTTAACATAAATGAACAAAAATAATGTTTATGTTAGAATGTTAGATCTAACCTCATTTCTAACCTCATTTCTACCCTCAAGATTTACAAACGTTTAACGTGATATACGTTATGAATTTTCATGAATTTTATATATTAATGTTTTCGTTAAGCCACTTTGTGCCGTCAGTCAGTCAGTTTAGGAAAGACTTTAGAAAGTTGTTGGAAAATAAGTCCTGGGAAGAGTATTATAAGGCATTTTGTGAAGAATATAGCAACCGCCGGAATTCAGACGGTTGTTTTTTTATACAAAATTCATGCAGGAAATTCTTGAGTTTTGGTTGAAAGAATACGGTCGAGCCACTTTTGGCTCCACCTCAAAACAAGCATTTTATGAGCTTACTAAGGGCGTTATAAATGAATTCAAAGGTATTTACATACATCCTGACCTCGTTCATTTTGTTGCTTAATTCAGCAAAAATAATGTTTAGGGTAGATGGTTAGATCTAACCTCATTTCTACCCTCATTTCTACCCTCATGAATTTTCATGAATTTCCTTAAGATAGAAAAAAATAAAGTTAATTTTATTTTTATTTATTTTTTTTATTTTTATATAAATATGATTACAAAAATCGAAACATCAGCACTTTCGACAGCATGCACGGCACCAAATTCATTAATCATGAATCCTACGTCAATGTTGGTAGAGATGAAAAGCTTCATTCCTTCTTCATATACTTTTGAGACAGAAATACAAAGAATTAAGCAAGAACTTTTAACAAGTAATTTAGACTGTAGTGCGAAAGATGAAACAAATGAACAGTATCTTTATGACATACAGGATATTATTGACCATTTACCCAAATTGCCTGAAGTTCAGCAACAAAAGCTCACTATTCATGAATTCGATGAAATAGAAGTGAAACCAACTGATTCAGTAGAAATAAAGAAGTTCATACGTAAAGTAAATTATGAATTCCTTGGTTTTCATTGCAACCATAAAGTTATGGACAAAGATTGCGACATGGTTTATAAAAACATTTCTGACATATATAAATCTGAGGAGTTTAAGACTTACGATAACTTTGTTTCATTAGCTGCTGAATGTGTGTGGCAGATAAGAGATAAAGACAGAAGAGGCAAAATATGGAATGGACAGATAAAACCAACAACTTTTGAGTTAAAGAAAACCATTGACGCCTTAGTTGTTCTAGCAGGTCAAATTTCAATGTATAACGCAAAAATGAATCCGCAATGTTCAAAATGTAAAGCAGCAATTAGGAAATATAACTACTCAGTAAAAGAGATAGAAAGAATGAGAAACGACTATGCTGACTTAAAGAAAGAAGCAGAAAAGCCAGCAGAAGATAAAATGGACATGTTGACATTTCTTAATAAAAACTATCCCACAGCTGATGATTTCCTTTTATCTGATGTCAAGAAGAAGTATAAAGAAACTTTCGACATTGTTAAAACATTCGATGTACTAAAAGAAGAAATAGAAGCTAGAAAACTGTTTAAAATTTCACGAATTCATAACGTATATCACGTTAAACGTTTGTAAATCTTGAGGGTAGAAATGAGGTTAGAAATGAGGTTAGATCTACCCTTCTACCCTCAATTATATTTTTGGTCAAAGCTTCCACGAGAGAAAAGATTCCTCATTCGCTAAGGATTCCAAAAATGAAAAAAATCATTGATTTCGGCTGAGAAAAAACAGCAAAACCCTTCTTCCACGGGAACAAAGAAATAAAGAAGAAATAAAGTAAATTTTTTATTTATTCCCGTGGAAGATAGAGAACTTTTATGACACTTTTTATTCACGACAAACAAGACAAACAAAGAAAATAAGAAAATACGGCGCTGTCGCGGTTCGAACCACAGACCCTGACCCCTCCATAACACCACCTTAGACCACTGTGCTACGTAGCCTGTCGACATAAGATTTTATAAATTGCATATTTGACGTAAATTTATTTCCATCTAGCTTCCCACCGCATAAGATATTCATACGTGTTTGTAAGACATTCATTAAACTTCTTTTCTATTGCATCTAATCTTGCGTTATTTTTTTCAATAACTTGTCTGTATTCTTCATCATCTCCAGCAGTGTTTGGGTCTTCACGTTTAAAATATTCATTGTTAACCAATTTTTTATCTACAAATTTTATTAGTGTTTGATTCACTTCGTTATGATAACGGTCATATTCTTTCAATACGTAAGTGAAGACAAAATGCGTCGTACCTTCAATCTTAAAGCTTAAAGAACTTTCAACACAGTTTTGAGGGTCTGTCAGTGCGTCAATGAGATAGTATTCGAAGTCAGTCAATAATCTTTTTAAAGTCATTTCATACAGGGATAAATTTAATGTTGTGAAGAAATAGTGTTTATCTCAGAAAAAATAAAGTTAGTTTTATTTTTATTTATTTTTTTATTTTGTATGTAAAGACAGTAATGTCAACATCAGAGAACACAACAATTGCTATCGTTCATGAAGCCATAAATGAAGAATACGAGTACATACAGTATAACAAACAGTACGTCTTATTCGTTCAGTCAAAGATGACATGTACCAAATGCAAAGTATTTTGAATGCTCTTCTTTCTACAAAGCAAGCATATCATTGGTTTGAAAACCAACAGACAAAAGAACTTTTAGAAGAATTTCCTCATATGATTGCTTCCCTCGGAAAACCGAGGGAAGAGATTCCGTACGAAAATCGCAAGAATTTGGCTCTGGTTTGAAAGGTTATTATGTCATAGACTTTTAGTAAATGCTGTAGCAATGTGGGCTTCACCTCGTTATGCTTGTTATATTTTCATGATGTTAGATGAACTATATAAAGCAGAACGTGGAGAGATGGAAAAGAAACTTCAAGCAAAAGATGAAGTCATTGAATCCAAAAGACAAAAGCATACAGAAAAGAATACCACGTTCAGTACCAAAAGGAAAGGAAAAGAACTATAAGTATATGATTTACGCTGAAGAGTTGGAGAAAGAAGAAGATAGAGATATGGTTATGTTGCATTTAGTGAGAAGAAACAACAAGAGCTTTTATGACTTAGCTAAGATATATAAATCTGACAGAAACCGGTTCTATCGTGAAAAACTTACCGATTTCAAATGACACCGAATGAGCAAATAAAGGAAATTGTCAAAAATACTCTTCCTCAAACACACTATGATATCAAAGGTTGCACAATACTTACATTCAAAGAAGACTTAACATTACTGAAAGAAAAGATAACAGAATATTTCGACAACTTCAAAGAGGAAGAATGAACAAAATATTTCATAATTGATCCTCCTGTGTTGTTGTCTAAATGTCATTTCATACAAAATAAAACTAACTTTATTTTTTCTGACTTTCACAAAAGACCAAAAATAAACGCTTTACATGTATTTTTCAGCAACTTCGTCAAATAATTTTATAGCTTTATCTATCTCATCTACTTCGAAAGTTTCTTTACCTTTCATGGGAGCACCATACATTTTCTCAAACTTTTCAAGTAGTTCTGTTTCTGCAGCTCTCATATCATTAACGAACACAACCTTGACTCTATTGACTGTACTGTCATATCTTTGAGTTATATTATATTGTTCTTCCTATCTTATATCTCTTTGTATTGAAGTCCTTCGGTTTCTGAACAATATAAAGTAAGCCTTCACTGCAACGTTCCGTATCGAATGAACCATAAGTTATGAAGTTATATCCAACAACTGGTCAATCCATAGAAGAATTATTGGTATAAGACTTTTGTCTATAAGATATGCTCTTGTTCCATGAAATGCTACTGATATCATAAGCTCAGGATTTCTTGTCAAAATTTTCTGAGTAGAAGCAATTCTAACCCAGTCCTTTGCTTTCTTTCCAGATGGTATTATAATGTCTGACAAAGAATATTTGTTGTATTTCTTTGAGTATCTTACGTTTAAATCACCTATTCTAACCACTTTGGTGTCATTGTCAATCTTTCTAACTGTTTCAAACTCAATGTTTGACATTACTGTCTTTACATACAAGATAAAAAATTTTCTTAGAAAAAATTAGCGTTATTTTTCTTTCATAAGGAAATGTCAAAAATTCATGATTTTCGAGAGTTTTAGACCATGTTATAAATGAGGGTAGAAATTAGGTTAGATATACCCATCTACTCTAAACATTATTTTTTGGTCATGGGCTATGCCCGCCGCTTTGCGTCTTTATGAAAACATTTATGAAAAATTTACGAAATTAACGTAAACATTAACGATAAAATTTATTTCCTGTGTTGTTGTCAAAATGTCATGTTGTCATCATTTTTAAAAGAAGTTAATTAACCTGGTAGCACATGGTGACGTGGTGACACTTTCAGTTATTCAAAAATATATTTTTGCTTAAATAACTTCAGGGTCTATTTCTTCAACCATTTCACTTCCTTCGTCAATGTCAATAGAAGCTTCTTCAACCTTTGGTAAGAACTTTTGTATGACATCTTTGTTCGTTATTGTCTTCAGAGATGAAGGATAATATTTCACATTTGTTTCACCTTTCTTATATTCTTTCTGTTCGGAAAGATTTAAAGCAATACTGAAGAAGTCAACGTTAGAGTTCTTTATGACAGTATAATGAGTATCTTTGACATTCACGAAGAAACTCTTTTGTTTCAAAACTACTGCTAACTCTTGTGAAGTATAACGTTTGCGGTCAATGACGATAGCTAATGGTCTGACATACTGACCAAA